GAGACATGAGACACTGGGTGGGGCACGACGCCATCTGTGGAAGACATCGGGACTGTTGCCAAGACACTCTCCCAGACATAGGTCAACATCTTGGTACCTGGCTGAGATCGGGCCACTTCGAGTGTTCGAACCAAGGCAGTGGCTCAAAATTACTTAAGTTGTTTAGTATATTAGCGGAGAACATTACGCAAATAGATAAGACGGTAGTAATAGCCTTATTCCTCGTGGAAAAGGCAGGAGAATGGATATATAGATATGTTGATATTTGAGCAGCCTATCTTTATCGAAACGAATGGCAGAAGTAACTTCAAAATTGCCCGCAGACGATCAAAGTCACTTCAAAATTGCCCGCAGACGATCAAAAGTGCCAGTGTTGCCACTGAGGGGAAAATTGACGGAAGAAGTAACTGATAGGTGAAACACACTGTCATAGATCACTATTATGTCTATTGCCAGAGCCTTAGCTTGCTTACAGTACTTACAGAGCCTACAAGGCTTACTTACACTCCCTTACACGATCCGAGATGAATAATCCTTGGATAGAATGATTGTCAAAGCCCACCTTGCTTCACCCAGTACCGATGTCAACAATAATGGGGCAGCCAGCATCCAACGCCTTTCATTGATTCACATTGCTGATTGCAAGGCCTAGTATTCTCTTAGAATTTGGGTGAACTAGTTGCATAAGCTGAAGAAGCGTCTTTAAAGGTTCTCGCGTAATATAATTGATTTGTTCTTAGTTAGATGCACATTGTTTACCTGTCGCATGTTGAAGAGATTGAAACTCTGACATGGGAACGATCTTTTCCTTGTCAGAGAGTTTAGTATGCACCTAAACTTAACAATTTTTAAAAAAATTACAAACCTTTCAGTGCATCCGTCCATCACGAAAATGGTCAGCGTGTAACCTAAGTTGTTAGCATAATCCTTACAAATCTTCAGTGTTTCGAATAAAAAAGTGGATCGGCGCGTATTCATACCTATCGTCAATCAAATTGACTGGGCCTGATCAGGTCCGTTGCCATCCAGTTTTCAAAGCTCCTTGTAGATTTATCGGTGAATTTATGCCTGGTTAAAACTGATGCTAAATGTACCTTTCCCAAACAATTATAAAACAATTACGTGTGGTTCATCTCTGAATACGTTCGCCATACTTTTGTTAATGACTGTAGTTACTTGGTTGTTTCGCGAGTGACTATTCGCTGAGGTTTATTGTACCACCTACGTTAGACTAATCATGCCATTACGTGGCGCACCCCATGCTGAGCGCTGCGTTCAGCTGCTGCAACAGCATGAGACGGATGCCGACCATAAGATGATTTGAGCGGACGCATACCGCAGCCGCAGATGTCGCTAATGTGAGTTGCGATCTTTCACGCAGATGTGCTTCCATCGGCAGCCTCCACTCTCCGGCGTCGTTTGCTAAACGAACTTAATGAACTCAGTGACCATATGCAAATATACATAACAAATAAATGCTTTCAAGCATAACGTGCCCAAAAATAAGTGCGTGTGTACTGTGTCACAACATAAGTCAGCCAGCTATCGACTTGTCTTGGTGATACATAGACGCTACCAGCGACACCACACTTCTGATTTGGCCCATCCGGCGTGTCTGTCAAGGCGAGGTCCGGGCATAATGCGACTCCCGCGTTGCGGCAGCTCGCAGTGCTGACGAGCAGAGGTGCGGAGGCGCAGAGGTGCTGACGAGCAGAGGTGCACCAGGCGCGGACGCGCATGAGGCGCACGAGGTTCAGAGGCGCAGAGGTGCTGACGAGCAGAGGCGCACCAGGTTCAGAGGCGCGGAGGTGCGAACGACCAGGGACGCACGAGGCGTAGAGGTGCTAACGAGCAGGGGCTCACGAGGTGCAGAGGTGCTAACGGGCAGGGGCGCACGAGGTGCAGAGGTGCTGACGCGCTGAGGCGCACGACCGAGCCGGAGCCATCGATTGACATGGGCCGCCGCCGCTGGGTCACGTGCCGCCGCCACTCGGCCCGCTAGGTCAACAGCGGCTGTCCACTCTGGGTCGGGCAGTCAACACGGCCCGACAGAAACGTCTCGCCCACGTAGGAGGAGGCTCGCGCCCAGCTCTGGACGCCGGTTTAGGTCGTCACAGCGAACGGTGTGGACGTCTGTTCTCCACCAGATGGCACTTAGACAGAAGAAAGGTCAAAGGGGAAATACGAGTGTGTTGTGGTGGGACATTCGACAGGTATTGGGTCTGGGAAAGATGCTTTCTGTGGTTTGCAAGGCAGATATAAATAATAACTACTTTATGCTGGATTTTCTTCTTCACAAATTGGTCGATTCTTGTGTAAGGTTCTGCTTTCCATTTTGTAAAACCTTGTGCTGCATGTTTGTGAAATGAAATTTCAAGGTCAGAAAACATCACTCAATATTTTCAGATACAACAGAGAATTCGGATCTCAAAAAGTAGTTTTTCGGCTTGCAACAGGTTCAAACAATTGAAATACTGCTTCTATCACGGACCACCGCTACCACGGCACATCGGCCGTGTGGTAGAGCACCGGACGGACCGCCGCTACCACGGCACATCGGCCGTGCAAATGTGGGCTGAAACAGTGTCATATCAAAAGTGTCCTTCCTGTAGCGCCATTGCCAAGCAGAATGATGAAGATGAATGATGATGATGACTGATGAATGGTGAATGCGTGAAAGGTTGGGAGTTCTTATGCTGACGATAATCGCTATTCAAGATGCCAGGTTGTGTGCTGGTTGAGCGACAAAATTAGACAAACATTGGATGCAGTAACAAAACTCCATGTTTATGTTCTGCTTCTGTCCGCAGTGAACAACGTTAGGCGAAAGGTAGCTTTAAAAAGCAACATACGCGTATAAAGGGCATGATAAAGATACGTGCAGAAAATGTCATGGGCATACCAAAAAACCCATGATTCGAGTTCACCATTCCACCATGCACACGGCAGTAAGGTGATAGGATAGGGCAGTTCGAATAATTTATTATTATGATATACATTTTAATGGCAATGTCCGCACATCGAAACATTGCCGGCATTCACGCGTTTAGTTTGCAAATGATTGGAAATGTTTGGTTTCCAAATGTTTGTAAACTAAACTCAATGTTTCCAAATGCTTTTTGCTCAAGCCTGCTGACTTCTACCTAACCGTATTGACTTTTGCTTAACCGTGGTGTATTTTGTTTAACCCTGTTGACCTTTGCTTAGCGCTGCTGACTTTTGCTCAATGCTTTTGACCTTTGCTTGACCCTGCTGACTTTTGCTCAATGCTGCTGACTTTTGCTTAACCCTGCTGGCGATGAGCGAAGCTTGAAAGCTCGATTTTTGTCAATATAGCCATTGCTTGCCTTTTAATATGAATCAGCTATTACCTCCTGATATACTGAAAGTCACGTATTGTCAGAATAAGAGCTCCCAACTCGTAACGCCGAAAAACCATGATATCGGGTTCTTATGAATGTCATGTATCAGGTTCCTAGGAGGGGTCGTTAGGAAAGCAGGCGAAAAGAAGTAGACCACATGGATTGGGATAGCGTATTACACATGTCTGCAAACTTGACACAAAATCCATACATTGATAGGTGCGATGTCTTCAGATGATAGGCGTAAGCATTTTTCTCATGGAGACCGCTCTCGATTTCCTTGCCCGATGATTTTGTCAAAATGGCATGAAGATCAACGCTACCAGGCACGCATTGATACCATGACTTCCAAGTGTGCAGGTAATCTTATCGTTTCCAGACACGTCTGCCATGTGTTAACCGTCAGATGAAAATCGTTATGGAGACGCTTATTTTCTCGATCGTTCATCACTGCATGAGCGCGCAGGGATCATATGGCGCGACACAGATCGCCGGCGTGCGGAAGATCGTCAACCTCCGTACGCGAGCGGTCAAAGGTCGCAGACGCCGCGATCACATCTCAGATGTTATCAAGGGGCTCGGCCCGCTGCACGCGGCTGAATTAGCCGAGTGACACGCCGTATGCGCAGTCCAGCGAGCTATCAGGACCGGAGCTCTGAGTACATCGGCAAAACCATCGGTACAGTAGCTCACGAACGACACGGGTGCAGCGCCCGAAGCGCAGACCGCGTAGCACGATTTCGAGCCCCAGCTGGAGCAGGCAGGCGCCGACTGTACGTCGGAGGGGTCACCGTGCTGAACCGTGCAAATATTGGTCCGCATGTGCCAGTGTCCGGTGGAGACTTGAAAACGTGCGATCCTGTTTAGACACCACTGAAAAGTTCATGTGTGCATTTGGCGCTTTGGTCGAGTGTTACCCAGGTATTTATCCTCAACGTCTATCTTTATTGACGCGCCGGCTGAAAAGTCCACATGGTTAGAGTTCCTTGACAAATGCAAATCTGAATCTGAACCCGAATACTTTGAAAGGTCGCGCACGCCAACCAAAAGGTTTCAGGCCACGGCTAACCGTTGTACAATTATTACAGGGCAAAGTTTAGCCTCCTGACCAAGAGAAGAATATGAAACCAGTCACGCAAAAGATACTGCGACTGTTTACGTACTTAGTTCTCTACATTTACGGAAGGATGAGCTATAAAGCGAGTATGCATGCTTTATAACACGCTATAAAGAGATTACAAAGCCGCCATTTATGGGCCAATTGCCTTGAGCGTCAAAGCTGTGTTAATTTTTCTTTGTCAAGTTTCAGAAACCTTCGCTTAGGTATCTTTCCCTCATCATAAAATAATCAGCAGCTCCATGATGGTCCTAAAATTGAACCGCTGTGGGATGCGTCACGTCCTGCCTCAGGACGACTCTACGTTGTTGGGCACTGAGCACAGGCGCCTACCGTGCTCCGGCCGCCCTCCCTTCCCCTCACTGTGGGCGATACACACGCCCTGCACCGCCGCTACCACCGCCGCCTCCGCCTCCGCCGCGCCGCCAGCCGGCCGGCCCAGTTTGAGAACCCCGCGGGCCGGCCCCAGGTATGCGGCGGCGGCGCCGGCCGCCGCCGCCCGGCAGTCGGCGGCGTCTCGGGCAGCAGACGTGGAGCGCTCGCGGTGACAGCCGGCCCCGGATCGCGGCGCAGTGCGACGCGGCGAGTCGTGTGGCGAGGCGAGGCGAGGCGGCGGCGCGCCGCGAGTTCGCCGCGGAGCACCGGCTGGAGCGTCGACGGTAAGGGAAGCTCGTTAGTCGCCGCACCCCGCTGGGTCATCGCTCCCGCCGGGCCGGCGACCGCGCGCGCCGCATTTAATAACCTTGGTGCCGGCCGTGGCGGGCGCCGGCGAAAGGGCTGTAGAGGGTACCCCGCCCGGCGGTGCGGTCCAGCCACGCGGGACCACTACGGTGCCCTGCTGTCCTCGGCGCGGCGGCTTTTGCGGCGCGGCTGGTTTTTACTTCCACTCAGCGCCCGAGAAAGATGGCTGGCGAGTGTGTTGTGCAGCCGACTGCTCATACAATATGGCTGCCTTGGCGCCCTAGCATTGCGAGCTCAAAAACACGTCGTTCTCAGGCGCTGTGGTCTCACCTCGCCGGTGCATTAGCTGCCTGACGTTCGGAGCCTGGCGCGCCCGAGTCGCGCCCTTGGGACGGTAATGATGCGGGCTGGAGTCAGCCGAGTCACGCTCTTCACGCCGTGAGTCATGCCGCTCGAAACGCAAGGCTAGCTTCTTCAGATGGGGGAGGAGCGGAGAGGGCGTCTGGAATAAGCCTGCGCGCTGTCACGGGGTGGATACAGCTGTTGGGAGAGGGAGGGCCATGTGGGGGAGGGGCGTGACCCCTCATTCGTCGTGAAAAATAGCGTTCGCTTCGCGGCGATGCGTGGACATAATCTTCTTCGAAAAGGGATTTGACCACCCCAGCCTTTTGAACGTTCCTTCTTCCTTGAATGCGATAGAGGTCGGCATCACGGGGTGTCAGGGTCCACGGGTATCCCGTTGCTTGACAAAGTTTAGCATTTATCGTGCGGTGATCATGGAAAGAATCCAACAACAGGCTAGGCCTTCTCACCATTGAGAAGGTTCTTTCGCTTGTGGGCGCAACAGCGATGTGTGGCGATTGGTCGAACTTTTAAAGGCGGGCTGCTGGCGAAGAGCATCAGACTTGCTGCAGAGCCGGATTTGGGTTGTCATACTGCGGTTGGTTCCCACCAGTGCAAGACCGCTTGGAAGCAGCTGATTCAGGGAAACACTAAAGCTTCTTCGCTGGCGTCGGTGGCTTCTTTCCTCGAGTAACGGTTTTATCCCATGTGTGGGACCAGGCGAATGCTCATGACGCATGGCTAAGTGTATGCCATGGTCGGTGATGACAAGAGACGTTGTCGCAGCGAATAACGAACATAACTCCTGTGAAGACTGGAGAGGCCTCCTTGCGGGACGGCGCGCACCATGTTTATATAATTTGGAAATCACTCATGGTTTGCCAGCCTCTCGTCGATCTGTTTGCTTGTCGAGACCAAACGTAGCGCTTGTGTGAAATGCATGTGAGAATTGATCGGGCGTTTGTTAGCCTTGGCGGGTACGCCTCACTTTGGAGTCACCTTCATAAGGCTTTTAGATTAGGAACACAACTGGCACTATAGTTCATAGATACTGGGCTGAGACACAATCATAACCGTCCGGGGCTTGACTCGCACACTCCCACCCCACAGAACGGCTCCCACGGGAACGGCGGCACGACTTATGTCGTGTATCTGTGCGTGAAATATCTTCCCTGTCGTTGCTCTTGAATGACTTTTCTGCAGAATGACTTCCTCGTGCGGGTTAAGCAATCCAGACCGAAAAGTAACTAGATGGCTAACCACCACATGCTCATTTTTTAAAAATATTCCGGCTGGTTTGGGTAACATAAAAATAGCATTGCGTTGGAACGCCCGCGTCTTTTTCTGCTGTGAAGCTGTCTGGTATTTCCATGCTCACAAGGGGAGCCATGAAATTGTTCTATGCCCGTTGGTTCCCATGAGGTTTGTGATGGTAGTTCATTTACAGAGCCTGGCTAACTCCGCATTCGTTCTCCAGACCACCTCTGTCATATTTCTGAAGCTCAATAAGGTATTTCCGCATAACACGCAGGCATGACATTACGAAACTTTGGCTACCAGGATGTGCCGGGATATGTGATCGCTTCTGACACACACCGAGATCCTGAAAGGATGGGCCGACCAACTTATTCTTTGGTTTTACTTCAACCCCTGACTCGCTTTCGGCAGCAGGTAGTCCAAACCAAAAGATAAAGATGTCGTGTAAGAACTGGTTCCGTCGCCGTTTGACCACCAGCATGGTTTGGGATAACGGGCACCGGACACCGAACCAGCGATGTTTTACGGGCGCCGGCACCGTTGCCCGCCTTCTGAGTGTTTAACACAGAAGAACACTGCTTGGTACGAGTGAGGCCCCGGGATCGCCGCGTATGCGCCACTACTGCACCGCCGCTTCTGCTTTACATCCAGCTGCGGCGACGTTATGGCAACATATTTGAGCGTGTTTCATTCCCTAATTTGGACGTTCCCCATTTCTCGGCTTCAGGTACTGCAGAGGTGTGTGCTTGTGACGTGTTCAAGATAAGCCAGAGTAGTTTATGCCACGTCTTGAAATCAGTGCTGACAATTTGCCTGAATTACCGCCGTTGGGTAGGACAGGCTCAGCTGCCAGCCCTGACGAGAAGACGGCCTAGTAACATCGCATCACCGAGACAGACTGAAGGCGGATGTTTGGCGAGATACGGCCCGGGCTCTGCCTGGAGCCGGGGGCGACCGTCCGAGAGCCGCGGCCGGATCCATCAGGACTCGGGGAGACTTCGTTGCTGGGCAGAACACTAACTCGGACCGCGTTTAATGCCCGTCGGTCACCTACAACATAACCAGCTCCGCGCAACCAAACCTGGAGCAGGTACTTGAGTCCACTTACGATGCAAAACGTCAGGGGACCCTTCCCGTAATGCCTTAGAATATTTCCGAGACTCACTCTTAGCGCGGTACTCGCACTCCATGGCTCCTGTCGTACCATGTTCCTGCTGACAGTAATCCTCTTGTCAAGACTCGATGAACTTCGTTTAAAAGTCATACCCGTCAGCGGACTTGCGAAGGCTTGTGATTTTGTTTTCATCGGCCTGCAATGCAACGGCACCGGGCAGCAGGCCGGTGGTGACGGCATTGCAGGTGGTGACGTCACCAGCAGGTGACGGCATTGCTGCCCCTCAAGATATGGAGAGAGAGGGAGCGAGAGAGAGAGAGAGGGGGAGGGGGAGAGAGGAAGGGAGCGAGAGAGGAAGGGAAAGGGAGAGAACAGGCGCGTCAACGAAATCATCATCTTCGCAGAGCCGCTGACTTTCCCGTGGTTATGGGCGAATGGCACTAAACAAAGCTGCTCTGGCAACACTGCCAGGCCGAGCAGCTGTCAGTGGCAAAATAATAAAATTCTGCTGAACTTGTGGAGAGGATGTGTACCAGTCGTCTCATCGGTTCTACCATAGCATTCACTCATGTTTTTGGTGCAGTTGGCAGATTATTGGACGTCTTTAACGCAGAGGTGTGGCCAGAGGGATGCATATCGCGTTCTGTGATCTTGGAAAAATCGTTAAAATGTCATAAAAATATACCTCAGTACTTGCCTTACATTTTCTCATCAGTTAAGATCTCCCACTTGACTCAGATTTACACCGGTCTCTAAGGAAGTGTCATCTGGCATTACAACAGACGGTATGGCTTTCGTGACACACCATTTTTAATAATCCTGCGTGATCGGCTTAAGTTTCACTCTAAAATTCATCACGCCTAGTCTTAAAGACTTAAAAATAGCATCCGTCCTTCGACCCAGAATTGCGTGACTGGACAAAAGACTTGTTTAATGCAAGCGATGCCGTCCAATAAGCTGAAGAACTACGGAGACCAAACTGAACAAGTTAGGGATTAATAGGTCATAGTTTGAGAGCTGAAACAAATTTGGCATTCAATGAACGCCTAAAATCAACGGTGATAACGTGCGTTCTCAGTGAAAAGAATCTTATGTTGTTTTATTCCTGATGCAACTGTCTTCTCCTTGAATGCCATTACTCTCCTTGATAAAGATTAGTGCGGCTTTGAGGGCGAGGATCCGTGAAAGATGGGAGGACTGGGTGTATGTGTCAACAACACGGAGCGATACAACTGGAATATTTGTCGGCGAGATTAAGGAGCACACTATGCCGCAATGCCACTCACAATCTCAGCTTGGAATGAGCTTTAACATCACACCTTGAGCGCATGAAGCCCAGTGTGACGAGAAGAAAGTCAGTCCCACGAAGCACCGCAACCCCCCCCCCCCCCACGTCGCTGAGAGCCCGACACCGCTCGGGCGTTACTCTCGCGTTACGGCACCTACCGCCGCCTGCCGCCGTCGAAGCCGCGTGTCGGCAAGCCGTTCGCCGGCCGCGTTACGACAGAGCGTCGCGACGAGCTGCGGCCGATCTGGGCTGCCGGCTTCCCAGCCGGGGTGCCCACGACAGCGCGCCGGGCGCGGAGGGCGCGTCGGCGCCACCGCCGGCGGCGCTGTCGGTGTCGTCGAGCGGGCGGAGGGGGAGGGGGGGGGGGGGGCGTGGCGAGGGGGCGGGCGTGACTGGTGGGCCGGAGCGCGGGGCGACACCGCACCGGCTGTTGTCGCCGGCGGCGCCGCTGTGGTGCCTCGCCACATAATGGTGCAGGAGATACGGGGGAGGGGGAGGCACGTGGTTGGAGGGGGTGGGGTGGAGGTGGGGAGGGGGTGGGTGGAAACCAGCGAGCTGAGCTCCATTCCATTGGGTGTGGTGTCTGAATTCCCAACTTGTGACCTTCGCTTATCAGGCGGCCGAAATGGAAGGCTTAAAGTCTTAAGTAAAGCCCCTTGTAGTTACGCGAGCACCAGTGAGAAGTAGGCGGGCCGAAAACTTTTGGCGATGCGAGAAGCACGGTGCTTTTGCATCATGAAATTCATGCCTGGCTTGTAAACGCGCTGGCATATTGCGCACTGAAAACAAAAGCTCGCTTCGTCATCGCGCACTGCCAAAGCTTTCAAGGAGCACTTGGCGTCTCCTGCTACCGTGCGTTTATGTCCAGGCAGTGCAATGCCACTGTCTAATGGGAGTGCAGGACCAGCGGCGAGTGTCTCGCACTCATCCCTCCTCCCCCTCCCCCCCCCCCGCCCAGCTGACCAGCAGCAGAACGC